TGACAATTTGTGCACAAAAACTTTTCAATTTTTCTTGTGAAAATCATTTACCTGATGACACAAAAACTAACAAACCTCAGGATTCTTGCAGTACACTCTTTAAATTCCCCTGGCTGAATGGTTGTTGAAGCATCAGCTCCGAGTAATCCTTTTTTCAGCAAGGAAACCACTCGGTACAGGTAGTTTAGATATTCCACAACTGAGACAGAAGGTGAATCTTCATCGTATTTGATGTTCATGTCTCCAAGTAATGAGGATAGTTTTCTCTCCCACATAGGTACCTGATCAACAAGAACATCATAGTCTTCCAAGGATGTTAAGTTCTGAAAAGGAAGTGATAGTTTCAACATGAGAGCATCAGATTGAATTTGTCCATGTGAGTTTCATGCTCAAGACTCAAGAGCTGTGGGTTCTGTGAGCAGCCAAAAGGAGGTGAATTTTTTAATTTTGACTTCCTATTTAAATAATTAACAGGATTGCCTGCTTTGATCCCTCCAAAAAAAAAAAAAGTGTATTCACTCAATTTTGTTTTTTCACTCAAATTAAATTGCTACCCATTAGTTTTGCATTTAAAAACCATGTCCAGACCAAAGAACACCTCTTTAGACAAGCATTCAAAACCACTACAGGTTTCGTCAATCTTTTTGACAGGCATGCAATCTAGCATGACTTCAAATATGTCTTCAACCTAAAAGAGTAGAATAAGCTTGAGTGGTTGCTGCCACAAGGCCATAAAAGTTGTACTGCTACTTCTTTAACTTACCGAGAGCCAAAATTCTGGGACATCTTGAGTATTCAACATGACACGCCCCAGAGGATCAACTCCTGTCCAGTCTGTAAAAATTATTGTATGTCCCTTGAGATTCTGAAGTTCAGACTTCTTGGACATGCAAAGGTTCCAAAAGTTTTTAAGGGAGCCATGATAGGATGCATGACTCCAGCCACTGATTGACTCCAGCTTGTTCAACCTGAGTTCTTTACATATCTTATCAGAAAGCAGTTTACTCTCCTCTATGACAGATTTACTACTTTCTTGTTTTCTCCTGGCATCTTGGATGTTCTTGTCAAGGAAGTCTCTCAAAGAGAGTCGTGAGTTTCTCTGCAATTGAGCAAGGTCCACAGGACTCTGCCTGTCACTGAACTGTTTATAAACATTAAGCCAGTGATGTGGTGCATCATAGGGAAGTGCAACTGACACCTTAGGTTTTTCACTGTTCTGGTGCAGAGTAACCAGATCTTCCAACATACCACAGGTCTTTAAAATGTGACTGATGGTGAACTGGACATCACGAGAGAAAAGCGAAACTCTTACCGTCTTGAAGAGATCCAGCCCTAACAATCACATGTCAAACAATTAATAATTTATCGATAATTATCAATTCCAACATCTTAGAATAGGATGTTGGGCTTGTATAACAACTCTAGGCAACACCCTCACATTGGCAATCTTCTCTAAACAACATTTGACTGTGCTGCCCTTGGGCTATAAGGACTCTACTGCCCTTGCATGGGATAACATTATAACATTTTCCTGATTTGAGAGGTAATACACAAATAAAAGAAGGAACACAAAATGAAACAATAGAGGACTTCAGGGGCATAGCCAGGATTTTTCAAAGGGCGGTCACACTGTGTAAAACAGAGGTTACTTTTAAAACAGATTGTCATGTTGACCTCCATGCTGTGTTTTAATTTATATGACTAAAAAATGCTTACAAAGAGAAGGGGGGGGGGGGGGGG